CCCAATGGGTTTGTAAAAAAAATACAAATTTCATTACTTCCGAGTTACCAAGTTACTTGCAAGTTACAAAAAAAAAAAAAAAGAAAGAAAAATTCAGCAATGTAGCTAACTTCAAAATAACTATACAAAATCAATTATATTCCTATATTAAAAAGAATTACAAAATAATATTAGAAAAAGAAAGATAGCATTGTATCAGCAACCAAAATAGAAAGTATACATACTTTCAGAACATGATTTTCTCACTCAAATGTAGTCAGATAAATGAAAAAAATGTTCTCTGATATATTTCTATGGCAAAATATCTAAATGATAAAGAAGACATAAAAAGAAAAAAACACCTTCCTGATTCTACTTTCCAGAGTGAAATACACCTATTCTTTTTTTTCTTTTTGAGTCTCACAATGTTGCTGTGGAGGCACAGCTCACAGAAACCTCTAACTCTCTTGGGCTTAGCAATTCTCTTACCTCAGCCTCCCAAGTAGTTGGGACTACAGGCACCTGCCATAACGCCTGCCTATTTTTTTGTTGTAGTGGACATTGTTGTTTGGCAGGCCCCAGTTGCGTTCGAACTTGCCAGCTCTGGTCTATGTCCGATGCCCTAACCGCTGAGCCTACAGCTACTCTTTTAAATGTTACTTAGCATTCTATAATACAGACGTACCATAATTTACTCTATTTTGGATATTCAAGTTGTTTTGCATTTTCCATTTACAAAGAATGCTGCAACAAATATCTTGTTAACAATCAAATCATTTCTTGAGCTTTTTATTTTTCCAAATTTTTCAGAAAGGAGGTCATAATTTTTCCATAGAAAAATTACCTCTTACCTCTGTCCTTCAAATGCCATATATAAGAAATGCCCTTTGGGCTTTGGGTTGGCGCCTGTGGCTCAGTGGGTAGGGCGCCGGCACCATATACCGAGGGTGGCGGGTTCAAACCCAGCCCCAGCTGAACTGCAACAAAAAAAGGGCGTTGTGGTGAGCGCCTGTCGTCCCAGCTACTCGGGAGGCTGAGGCAAGAGAATTTCCTAAGCCCAGGAGTTGGAGGTTGCTGTGAGCTATGTGACGCCAGCGCACTCCACCGAGGGCGATAATAGCCGGGCATTGTGGCAGGCGCCTGTGATCCCAGCTACTTGGGAATCGCTTAAGCCCAAGAGTTGGAGGTTGCTATGCTCCCTGCACTCTGCCGAGGGAGACATAGTGAGATTCTGTCTCAAAAAAAAAAAAAAAAAAAAAAGAAAGAAAGAGATGTCCAAAAGGGTTGAAACGCAACAAAATATCCACACATGGCAATGAAGATTTGTTGCCAAATTATTTGTGTAAAGGGGGGAATCAATGCCTCAAAGAATGGAAAAATATTCTTTTAACCTGAATATTGGGAGTGTGGGGAGGAAGAAAAGGCTTGGTTTGGCTTTATTGCCTTAAAGTTTGAGGATGATTTTTCATTCGCCATGTTTGTATCCTTTGTATACTGTATAGTCTCAAAAGCACTGTCACAAGTCACATCTTTTGGTCCTCGCAACGGCCTTACTGGGTAAGCAGGTCAAGTATTGAGGTCCCCTCCTCACTAACAAGATTTCAGAGAACAAGGGCCTTGCAAAAGTTTACAAAGCTGGAACAAGGAATCGGACTCAGACCTTCTGATGTCTATGTCTCTGTTTCATACTCATTTATCCCGTTAAGTATCCGCTCATTCCAGGAGCATTTACCCAACTCCAGAATGGTATCAGGGTAACATAAACTTCAACCCAATCCCCATGACACTTTTTAAACTGGGGGAGAAGCCCATCAAAGACATTCCTGAGAAAACTGGGATATTCATCTGCATATAGAAGGCAATAGAATGAAAAACAGGCCAGCTACCAGAGTTAGTGTGTAAATTGGACTGACAGCTTTTCATGTGCACAGGAGACTCTCCGGATGGAGAGAGCAGGGGGTTGGCATCCTGGGTAGACAGCTGGCTGCTCGGAGTCGAGTAGCCGGGTGGAGGCTGGAGGTGAGCGAGGGGCAGCGCGCGTCCCGCGCCAGGCAGCGCGGCGGCATTTCCCCGCGCAAGCGCGGCCAAGGCTTTCCCGGCGGAGCGCACTCCCGGGCGGGCGGCGCGGCTCGCGGCTCGGCGGCGCCCGGCTCCTCCTTAACCCGCGCCGGGAGGCGGTGGCGGCGGCGGCCGGGCGGGCGGGGGAGGGGGAGGGGCGCGGAGTGCGGCGCGGAGGCCGGGGAGGAGCCGGGGCCTGCAGCGGATCCGAGCCGAGCCCGAGCCCGAGCCGAGCCTTGACACTGTCCGTCCGCCTTCTGGCTCCTCGGGAGCCCGGACTGGCCGGAGCCCGAGAGGTGGCAGCGCCGGGAGCCCCACGCGCTGAAGGGAGCGGACCGGACCGGACGGGACTAGTGGAGGCGCTGCCGCCACAGTAGCCAGTGACGGGAGTCTGGAGCCGCGGCCTCCCGGACCCTGCTGCCCAGGCCAGCTCGGGGAGAGCGGGGAGTACGAAAACCCCACCCTCTGGGGCACCCCAGGAGCGGAGGCGGGAGCGGGGACCGGAGCAGCCTGTGTTCTTGTTGGGGAGAAGGTCCTTACTACTCGGGTGAGGGAAAGAAGAGACCCCTGTAAGGGGACGCGTCTCTCCTTCCTAGAGGCGAGGAAAAACCTCATACTGGCCGGGGAGGAGACCCCCCGAAGTAGGAAGGGGTGAGCCTTCCAGCAGGAAGCACAGTGAGACCACCCCATCGTGCCTCCTTCCCTCCAAACACGCATTCTAAACAGTTCAGGACTTTTGAGGCAAAGAGAAAGGGGGATATGCCTGTGGAGTAGGCACCCTCCATCCTAACCAGTACTCACAGAGGAGAGGAGTTCTTACGTTCAGAAGCAAAGGACACTCCAGGGAAAGAAGAGGAATCGGCTTTCAGCCTTTCTGGAGAGGGGAAGACCTCTCCCCTCAACTTCCTTGGACCTAGACAGTGGAACGGGGTAGAGCCCCTCCACTCAGATCTCCAGCAGTCAGAAACAGCCCTCCACTCCAGACAGAGCCAGTTTGGGGGGGAGGGGGACTCCCCCAAGGGGGAGGAGACAACTCCTGGTTGGGAGAGGCTCCTCCCCTCCTCCCCAGGGTAACTGGCAGGGTGTGGGGGGTGTGCCACCTTCCTCAGGTAGGGCCTCCTTCTCCTCCCCCTCCTCCTTCTCCTTTGGCTCCTCATCCTCAGGGGACCCAGTTCACCTCCCCAGCTTGGGAGGTTCAGCCAAGTACAGAAAGAGCCACTGAGGATGAGACTCATCACCTGCCTCTGAAGAGGGGAATCCCTCCAACCCCAAACTCCAGTACCAGGTGGTTCCTCTCTGCAGGGGGAACTGTGGAGACAGGTTAGTGCGTCCTTTCATTTTCTCTCTGCTATCTCTAAGCATTGGTGGGTGTAAGGGCTGAGATGGTGGATCTTGGGTGGCATTGCTGGAGAAGGTAAAGTGCTAACTCAGAATCCTCTGGAAAATGTGTTCTGAGGAAGCTCTTGGATTCCAAACCCTATCTTTCTGCAGAGGTTCTGAGAAATGGGTTTCTTAGCGTTTGGTTTCACCTATAGGATTTACTTGAAGTCTCTGGGCAGTGGATGTTTCCATGTTGAGGACAAAGGGATATCAGAAAGTCGCTGCATTTTCAGAACTCCATACTGTGTAGTAATGATTGACACAACCCAGCCAGACTCCTGTACTACTTGTCCATCCTTGGACCTTCTCATCTGGAAAGTGGGCCCTCGCTAAAGTCACAGTAGCAACTCATGTCTTGGCCTTGTCTAGGGCATGCTGGGGTCTTCTTAGTGTTCTCTCCAGTCCACTTTAATTATTGCTCCCTTGATAAGAAAAGCAGTCTGTTCCCACTCACCTTATATCAGATACCAAAGAGGCCTCCTCTCCTGACATTCCTGTTCCTAGCTGATGTATGCCTCTACCCCAAGGGAAAATGGGAATTCCATGTGTCCTGAGGCAAGAAGAAAGTGTACAGGGGAATGCCAATTCCTGGATGGGAGTTCTTCCTGAATGTTCACCCTGTACCCACTGCCCCAGTCTCCTGCAAGATTCTTATCCTTTGCTGACAGTTTCTTAAGAAAAATTAGTTCTGGGTAGGAAGATAGGAGGTTTGCTGCTCAACTTTCTTCCAGTCTTCCATTTAAATAAGTTGACCAATGGAGAGATTTGACCTCTGATGAGTATTTGAGAGTTTCCACCTAGAAAGGCATCTAATAGTCTCATTCTCTCCCTTCCCGTTTTTTGTTCAGTTCTGGGTCTTTGGAATATTACATTAAAGTTTTTTTCATAAGACAGGGAATCATCAAAGTCCAGAATCTTCAGAAGGAACAGGCAAAAGGTGCCAGGAAATCCTCCTAGCGGAGCCTGGGCTGTTTTTGGTAGAGCTTTGCCTTTCTATCTGAGGTCACTGACTAGGTGTCTGCTTTCCTACCTGGCTATTAAGAGATATCTTCTCTTCTGTATCATAGCAAGCTCAAGTGGCAAGCTTTGTCCAACTTGGGCTTTTATGTTTTCTCCTTTCTCTTTCTGGGCCATGGGTGGGCTACCTAAGGCCTAAGTACATCTGCTTGATCCTGCAAGTTACCTGTTAGTGGTGGAATATCAGATAAGGAAGAATGGTGTACATAGTGTTCCTTAAATTAGGTGAGTGTGGCTCTATCTCTATGTTTTGTCTGTGGAGACAAGTACCTATGTGCTTTTCAGACTCTATGTCAATTACTTAGAGCTGTACATTTCTAGTAGGTCTCTAGAAGCAGGTGCTCCTGTGTAAGGACCTGGAGAAGATGGTGGTTAGGATGCCCAACTGAGAGGAAAGGATTGGCCTCCTGCTGGCCAGCAGGAACCCTTATGATTGTATGCATGACAGTTATCTTAAGCAGTGGGGCAGTCCAGTCTCCAATTGGGAGCATTTCTTCTAGATCTAATAAAGCTTCATTTCTGATACCTCTAGTTTCAAAAGGGTGAGGATTCTTGACTCTTCACTCCAGAACTTTCTCTCCCACCTAAAAAAGAGACTGCTCTGGTGTAACAGCCCCCTGTTTCTTACAAAGTATTTTACCAAATGCTGGAGTGCACCTTTTTAAATGGCTCAGAGTGAACTGTATGACCACCACCACATTGTTTAAATGGCCCTGCTTGGACTGACTTTCTCTAGCTGTCTGTGCCTTTATGGAATCAGTTAGAAGCAGGTGGCTATTGGGTTGGATTAACTGTGATTTAGAGAGTGCCATTTTCCAGATCATGTCTTATGACTACACCTAGTTCCTGCTGAAAGATAAAAGAGATGATATTTCCCCATTCTTTCCTCCTTGGAGTTTGCCTGATCCTAGCATTACCACTGGAGTGATATTATCTTCAAAGGAAAAGTCTGAGAGTTGTGACATCCTGAAAACCATTGTTGACTCAGTGCAGGCTTTGCCATCCAAACCATTGCTGGCTTTCTGCTTTCACTCTTACCTCTTTGGTCTCATTTTTAATTTCTGGAATTCTTTTTTTCCCCTTTCAAAAATAATAATAGCTGTTTTTATATGACACTAAGTGCTTTAAACATATCAACTCAAGGTAGTCTTCCCAACAAACTTTTGTACGTACAGTTATCATCTCTGTTTTACAGATGAAGAAATCAAGGCACAGAGAGGTTAAGCTTCTTGCCTGGGTTGCACAGCCAAAAAGTAATAAAGCTGAGACTGAAACCCAGAAAACCTGACTCCTCATGAGGTGAACTTAGTTTCTGCCCTCTTAGCTTTTGCATTCTGTATAGGCCAGAAAGCTATCACTCCTTAATCTCTGATATTGGCACCTTACAGAGAACAGTTAGTGGCGTTTCAGATAAAATGGGTAGAAAACCATGCTCATTATTTTGGATTTTATATATTTTATTTGGGATTGGCCTTTTACTGCCACAGAGTATTTTTCTGTCTGGTTTTCTCTGCCTTTCTCATAGTACTGTAGTCTTCATTAGACAACCTGTGGATGTGATGGAGCCTGCCCTTTGGCTGCCTTTCCCAGTTTCTATGGGTATTTCCTTTGAGTCTTCCAGCTTGCAGAGAAGAATGTGGCCTGACTCAGGTTCTGCCCAATCCTGGTGGCATGAGGCCCACCTGGAGAGAGAAAGGTCTGGGTAACTAGGTTGGTTGGACTGAGAAATGGAAGTACCTCTGTTTGCCTTTCTAATAATAGCTCTGAACATTAGCCTGGTGCCATTATTTTGGGGAGCGTGGAATGTGAGGCAGCCACAAGCTCGTTAAGCTTCATTCACTTCCCTCCAGAGAGGAAGCTCTGGGCTGGCGTTTGAATTTATCCCTTTATTGAAATGGGAAACTGAGGCATCAGACTTCATCAGAGAGCAAAGGTTAGTTAGGGACACTCAGTGAGTCAGTTTCAAGTTGTGAATAGAATCAGGGAACCTAGGTATTTGAGGCTCTACACCAGGGGTCCTCAAACTTTTTAAACAGCGGGCCAGTTCACTGTCCCTCAGACAATTGGAGGACCAGACTGTGGGCCCTGGGACAAGTCGGCTGCTAAGCAGGACAGGCAGCAGCAGCAAAAACTAGGCGGGCTGGATAAATGTCCTAAGCGGGCTGCATGTGGCCCACGGGCCATAGTTTGAAGATGCCTGCTCTACACACTGGGCAACACTCTACCAATGGGGAAGTAAAAGGTGGGAGGAAGTGGGATAGGTTAAAGAAGAATGGTGCAGAAAGATCGGAAGGACAGAGGCTGTAGGCTTCTTCTAGGTGGTAAAATTGGAATATA